AGTACAGGGAATGAATTTGCCTATAAAATTTTAAGAAACTCAAAATGGAAAACCAACTCCTAAAGAGATACTTTTCAGACGTATCAGACAAATATTCCCTCCTCATCATTTCCTTACCAAAAGGTCACTATCTACTTTTGCCACCCCACGTTTAAAAAAGGAAAAACAAAGCATTTCCGAGTTTCCTTTTCCTATATATCTTTTTAATCATGGGAAAAATATAAGAGAAATCAATATTGTGTAGTCGCTTTCAAAATAATAGTACTATATATACACACACCATAAAACAACCTCTTGTAGAAATGCAGGTTAAGATTGCGTATAATAGACCTTTGTAACCTGACATTTTCCCAAATCTCATGCATAGCGAGAGTTTAATGCACTGAGCTGCCCTTTCTTCTATATATATATATATATATATATATATATATATATATATATATATATATACACTTTTACGACTGCTAAATATAAATAGTTTCTACCGTGAGCTAAAATTGATCTTCACTCAAAATATAATCTTTTGTAAACTTTTTGAACTATTGGATTTTGTATATGGTGGTTTGGTTAGGAGACACTGACACTTGTCATTTTGTGCTAGGCGGCCACCGCCAATTGGACTTGTAATGCTTGACTATTACTATTTCATCATTGAGTACACTCTGAAACTATTTGGCTCATCCCAATAATATTTCTCAAGTCTTTAAGTTTTTATCTTTAATTCGTACTAAAGTTACAGTACGCTGTCTTTATTAATAGGGAAGAATTCCAATAAGCCCACCACCCAATAACGTACCTCATGCTTGATTAATTATGATATCTTGCATTTTGTTATAAAATAAAGGTTGTAAAGTAAAGACAAGTATAGAGAAAAATTAGTATATTATTCGAATTTAAACTAATGTACATAATGAACTGAAATCTCTTCTATTTATTGAAGAAAGGAAGCTGCTGTGTAAGCTGCTACTGCAAGCTGCTGTGTAAGCCGCTACATACCAGATATGGATAATCTTCTACTGGGGGTAATGTTTATCCATACGGAGTACTGAAAGGATAAGCTCATTGTACCCGGTATGGATAATCTTCTACTAGGGGTAATGTTTATCCATAACGGAGTACTGAAAGGATAAGCTCATTGTACCCGGTATGGATAATCTTCTACCGGGGTAATGTTTATCCATAACGGAGTACTGAAAGGATAAGCTCATTGTACCCGGTATGGATAATCTTCTACCGGGGGTAATATTTATCCATAACGGAGTATCGAAAGGACAAGCTTATTATACCCGGTATGGATAATCTTCTACCGGGGGTAATGTTTATCCATAACCGGGTACCGAAGTGATAAGCTTCTTCAGGAGGCTTATTTCCAATAGAGTACTAAATAAATAAATATATTTACGGTGGAGTCCCATATGGATAAGCTTCTTCAGGAAGCTTATTTACAACGGAGTACTAAATGAACATCCATAATATAATATATTTATAACACTCCCCCTTGGATGTTCATTAAAAGATAGTGTGCCTCACTAAAACCTTACTAGGAAAAACCCCGTGGGAAAAAAAATTCTAGTGAAGGAAAAAGAGTACACATATTTAGTAATACGCATTGTTAGGTGCCTCATTAAAAACCTTATAAGGAAAACCCTGTGGGAAAAAAATTTAGTAAGGAAAAAAGAGTGCATCGCGTATTTTACTCTCCCTGATGAAAACCTTGTTCAAATATTTGAGTCTCGCATTTTAATCTTGTATCTGCATAACCAATACGATCTGCACCACCTTTGTTAGCATTAGCAAGATACGTAAGTGCATAGCAATTGCACTGAGATAGAGTATTTCAAGACCAATGAGTTCCTCATCCTCTTCTGGAGGTCGGAACGGATCCTTATTTACTTCAAGTGATCGAACACCCATTGGTGTACTTAATGGGTGCGCTTTGTCCATGTAAAAGCGTTTAAAGACCCTTTCTGTATAGGCAAATTGATGGATAAAGATCTCGTCTGCTAAATATTTAATTTGCAGACCAATATAAATTTTTATTTTTCCAAGATCTCTTTCTTAAGATATTCAATTGCCTTTGGAGCTCTTCTGGAGTTCCAACAAGATTTATGTCATCAACGTAAACAGCAAGTGTAACAAATTCTGATGACATTTTCTTTATAAAAATACATGGACAAATAACATCATTTATGTAACTTTCTTCAGCAAATATTCACTGAGGCGATTATATCACATGCGCCCAGATTGATTTAAACCGTACAAAGATATTTATAATCTGATCGAGTACATTTCTCGATACTTTGAACTACATGCTTCAGGCATTTTAAATCCTTCAGGGATCTTTATAGAGATTTAATCAAATGAGTCATATAGGTTATGACTCGCATTTAAATGGCATGACATCTTCAGGTGTCTGGACTACTGGTCCGATCCTCACAATATTTCACAGTATTGTGCACTATATTGTATCAAATATATCGTCGACAATCATTTTGTATCGGTTCCTAGGCGACATAACTTGTTGAGATCTCATCACTTTCTTTCAGGTACCTCAGCTTCTTCTGGAGTTTCATGAAATGTTATGCCGTGGGCTCTTCTAGAGCTCATTTCCTCCTCATATGATCATTTTGATCATTAGCTCCTTATCATTTTTCAAGGATTGTTACCTTTGGAACCGATTGGTCTACCACGCTTCATGCGTACAGTAAACTCTATCCTTTAGGGACTTTAAATTTTAATAGGAGCATTTGCAGCTGAAATATGATATTTGATTTTGGATCAGCAAATGCTTCTGGCATTTGACTTGAATTATCTTCTAAGTGAGGATCATATTAATGATAATTCGATTCATATAGCATATTTTTCAGCTGTTTATTCCATTCCCTAAATGTTAGAAAAACTAACATATATCCCCAATCTTCTTTGGGAAACATATCTTTGTGCATTGTGGTAGAGAAATTAATCATATACCACACATCAAAAGATAGTAAAATATTTTGATTATGATCCTAAACCAATTGTGAGGGGAGGACTTATCATATATTGTTGGTCTGATGCATACAAGTGCTACTATATGCAATTTAGAAAATCTTAGACCAACACATGAAGCTTTGTTCTCATAAACAATAGTTTAGCCATTAATAGGAGGTATTCACTGCTAAACTAGCTTGTATATAAACCAACATTATCAAGATGAACTGTCTTGATTTCATAATCTGAAAATTATGCTCTGAAGTGAGAAAAGCAATTTCAAATGCCAAACTGCAGGTTGACAATAAACATACATGTAACCATCTTATATATGCATCTATAAGTGGTTCACATGATAGGTGAATGAGCCCATATTCACCTTTTATATATTTCAGAATCAGGGGTCTTAATCCCAACTTTAGCTGGTATAATCAATTTATTATGAGAACAAGCAACACAGGAGAATTCTTGAAGAATCTTCTAGTTCTTTAGTATATGCTTATCTAAATTCTCAAATAGCTCATTTAAAAATGGCAAATAAAAACTTCAAGTTTATCATGGCATGTGCTATCTCTTAGTAAACTTCTGGTTTACTATGACATAAACTTTTGCATTAGCAAACTTCTGATTTACTGGAGCTACTTTTGTATTAGTAAAATTTTGGTTTACCGTGATACATGATGTAGTACAAATCGAAGAATAAGGCGGGTAACTTCTCATATACATATTATTTTACCCCCTATGATTGTGGAAACATAAAGATTTTCATTTTTCCAATCATTTATAGTCTCAATATGATAGCCATTTATTTTAGTAAACTTCAGGTTTACTACAACATATGTTTTGATCATAATCATATAATATGAATGACATATTTGTAAATAAGCTCTTCGAGAGCCTTCATTTATTATCCACAATCTAATATTTATCGAACACTACTGGTGTCATGTGTCTTCTAGGCAAACACTTAGTTCTTCAGGAGTTGTTGATACATTTTGTACTATCAAATATTGCTCAGACACTTCTGGTATCATAAGAGAAAATCACAATCAAATAAATAATTGTTTAAGCACAAGAAAACTCCTCTTCATAATATTTTCCTACTTCAGGAGGCAATTTCAATTGTATTACTTCTTCAGGAGCAAATTTAAAATACGAAATATTGAGTATATATTCTCTCAATTATATTACCTCTTCTGGAGGTGAATTGTAATATATTTACATCAAGAGCGCGTTCATATTTACCAGATTTATTAATATTGTCACATTCACTTCAGGGAATGGATTATTATTATCAAATGTTCTCATCCTTCAGGAAAATCGAACATAATTATCTGAATGCGCATTAATCACATCAAATTGTGATGCCTCAACCTCTTTTAAAATATTTACCACTTCAAGAGCAAATCGAGGCGTGCATTTAATATAGAGAATATTTATGTAGCTTATCTTCAATTGTAACCATAGAAAGCCTAAATTATCACTTCTGGTGATCACAGGCATATACCACTTCTGGTGGTTAACAAAATATAATTACAATGAGATACACAAAATATAACCACTTCTGGTGGTTGTATATTTCTTGCAAACTCTGCTAGAGTTTAAGTTGATCTAATAATGTTATCCATATTCTTCAAAATGACATAGATAAGATATATTATAGTAAACATCATTATCAAATCATAATTTTTCTTTATGTACAACAATTACATAACCATACTATCTATTACAAACAACAAAAATTAAAATATTTACATTTCTACAGATTCACCACCGATCACATGACTTGTTTCTCCATCTGGGAGTACAAGGTAATCAGCAACATCTAAATGCATGAAGTCAAAATTATCTTCAGAAATAAAATTTGCTTCAGCATTTTTCTCAGTCTTCTTTAGGGAGGCTTGATAAAGCTCAACCAGGTGCTTTGGCGTACGACAAGTACGTGACTAGTTCACTTTTCCTCCACATCTATAGCATGCATTTTCTGCATTTGGTGCTTGCACCGCTTCATGCTTTTGTTCCTTCCTTTTTCACTGCTGGTGGCGAGGAGGGTTCTTTGGTGCATTATTATTACCATGATTAAAGTTTCTTCCCCGACCACGGTCATGACCACGACTGGGGCCACGACCTCTTCCGCGCTTAGCTTGGTGGAAGTTCGTCTCATTCACTTCAGGGAATGGACAAGAACTAGTAGGTCGACTTTCATGGTTTTTCATTAATAGCTCATTATGTTGCTCGACTACAAGAAGATGTGAGATAAGTTCAGAATACTTTTTGAATCCCATCTCTCGATATTGCTGCTGCAGGAGCATATTCAAGGCATGAAAAGTGGTGAAAGTTTTCTCCAACATATCATGATCAGTAATATTATCATCATATAATTTCAATTGGGAAATAATTCTGAACATAGCAGAATTATACTCACTGATAGAGTTAAAATCTTGTAGCCTTAGATGAGTCCAATCATAACGTGCCTGTGGAAAAACGACCATCTTCAGGTGGTCATATCTATCTTTCAAATTATTCCACAGTATGACTGGATCTTTAACAGTAAGATATTCCATTTTCAGGCCCTCATCAAGGTGATGGCGTAGGAATATCATCGCTTTGGCACAGTCTTGGTTTGATGCCTGATTTTTATCCTTGATGGTGTCTGCCAGACCCATCGCATCAAGATGAATTTCAGCATCAAGCACCCAAGACATGTAGCTTTTGCCCGATATATCCAGGGCTACAAATTCAAGTTTAGAAAGATTTGACATTATATAGAAAAAGAAAGTTCGTACCTCAGATACTTTCAAAGTATTTGCTCAAGATGGCAGAATCTCGTGCTGATAACGTGATATAAAATAAAGATTATAAAGTAAAGACAAGTATAGAGAGAAATTGATATATTATTCGAATTCAAACTAATGTACATAATGAACTGAAATCTCTTCTATTTATAGAAGAAAGAAAGTTGTTGTGTAAGCTGCTACTGCAAGCTGCTATGTAAGCTGCTACATACCAGATATGGATAATCTTCTACTGAGGGTAATGTTTATCCATACGGAGTACTGAAAGGATAAGCTCATTGTACCCGGTATGGATAATCTTCTACTAGGGGTAATGTTTATCCATAACGGAGTACTGAAAGGATAAGCTCATTGTACCCGGTATGGATAATCTTCTACTGGGGGTAATGTTTATCCATAACGGAGTACTGAAAGAATAAGCTTATTGTACCCAGTATGGATAATCTTCTACCGGGTGTAATGTTTATCCATAACGGAGTATCGAAAGGATAAGCTTATTATACCCGGTATGGATAATCTTCTACCGGGGATAATTTATCCATAACCGGGTACCGAAGTGATAAGCTTCTTCAGGAGGCTTATTTCCAATAGAGTACTAAATAGATAAACATATTTACGGCGGAGTCCCATATGGATAAGCTTCTTCAGGAAGCTTATTTACAACGGAGTACTAAATGAACATCCATAATATAATATATTTATAACACATCTGACTTTATTCAGAAAAAGGAGTGAGGAATGTGTTCTATAGATAAAAAAATGTTTCCCTTAAAAAATTGAATGATTAAAATATTTCGAAGAACAATTTTGGCACACGCAAAAAATTAAGCAAAAGCTTTATAGAAGAAATTTATTAAACTAGGGAGAGAACTTGGTAGGAGGATTTTTTCACTATTCATGAACTCTTGAATCTTTATACAACGTAGCTACCTCTCCACTATAGAAAATATGTAGTAGCTCCCCTATTTATAATACTATAATCCAAATTTGACTAGAGTCTAGAAAAAATATTCCTACGTGATTTTGGTTGTGAATCCTAATTAGACATAAATTAAATAAACTAATAAATACCAAATCCTAGACAACTTAGGAATAAAAATTAATCTTGGTTTAATTTCCAACAGCCTCCCTTAAACCAAGATCTTCAAACTTGAGCATGCCATGAGTAACATCAAGTCTTCTAGAAGTCAAGTACCTTAGACTCTTCACCAATTTCCTAAAATATGTAGCATCAATAAAATCACAAGTGCCGTCTTTTGTCAACTGCAATTTTTCTTGAATATTGCTCATATATGATTTGTCTTTACTCATGGTAAATTCCTTCAAAATACCATCAATATAATTTTCCTTAACTTTGAAATCATCTACTTCTCGAGTTGCCTTGTAGTTGGACTTGTACACCCATTCAACTCCAATTGAACATTGTATATAGGTTGTAGAGTAATGCCACCAATAGATATATCACCTTGCTCCTTGAAACATGTAATCTCGAACAATGGCATAAAATTTATTTCATCTTCAATATCTATAATTATGTGTTGTAGTTCTGGATCCCAAGCTATTTTTGCCCCAATCTTGTGCAGATTATCAGAGAATTTCTCTTGATGAAACATCTTGTTTTTTTCATTAAAATCAAATAACTTTTCAAGTGAAATACCAACCTCTTTTGGATAAATGTCTCTTGCAACCAAATCTTCCTTTTTAACAATCGGAGAAATTTTCGGCAGATCACTTTGAATATTATTTGACTTACCTTCGCATCCGATGGAATCTCTATCACAACAAAAATTACATGTACCTTCTATTCTTTTTCTCCTTTGTTTTTGAATTTTGGCCTTCTTGATTTATCTCCGCCGGTTTTGATGTGTCTTCTTTTTCTTTTGGTTGATCATCCTTCTCTTGTGATGCATCCTCCATTATCTCATCTTTGTGTTGATTCAATGTTCTCTCATATGTCACCAATTCGCCTTCTAAATCATCAAGTCCGAGAGTGCTAAGATCTTTGGTAGTCTCATGAATAACTTTCTTGTTGCTAAACTTTAAACTTAGAGACTGCAATATTTTTTGAACAATTTTAACTTCTTCCAATACTTCTCCATTGGTCCTTATACCATTGACTATTTCTTGAGTTCTTGTAAAAAATTCTTTGATAGACTCTGTTGGTCTCATACGAGCCAACTCAAATCGACCCCTAAACTCTTGCAGTTTCTCCTTCTTTATGTCAACAACTTTTCGATATGACTTCACCAAGATTGTCCAAGCCTCCTTTGATGACTTTGCATGCAAATATTTTTTAGATACATGCAATTCGACCTTGATAGCGAGATAGTAGCATGCCTTATAATCTAAATGTCTCTTCTTCTCCAATTGCGTAGCTGCATCATCCGTCAACGTTGTGCCTTTTGGGGGTTCCTCAAATCCTTTATCAATGGTGGACCATAATCCAATAGCTGCAAAAAAAATTCTTGATCTCTTGATACCAAATTTTAAAATTATTTTTGCCATCAAACACAAAAACGGGACAATTAGGCAATAGAGTATCCATATTTTTGTTGGATTTCCTATCGGCTATGACAGAATCTCACAGAGGCTCTGATACCACTTTGAAGGATTGAAATATCTCGAAGAACAATTTTGGCACAAGCAAAAATTTAACCAAAAGCTATATAGAAGAAATTTATTAAACTAGAGAGAGAACTTGATGTCATGCCCCTTTTTTTTACTTCACTTAACCCTTTTAAAATATAAAAAGATTTTATAAAGCTCGAAAAGGTTTCAATTACGAAAGTAACAAAGAATTGTGTTCAAAAGGGTTTTTCAGAGTCGCCACCTGACATTGGATTCGATGTGCCAGGTCACCGTTTTTAAAAAAAATAATTTTTTTCTTTTAAACACTTTGGACTCCAAAACTAAGTCTGCACCAGAGATTCGGGTAAGGGGGTTCATTTGACTCGGGGAGAAGGTGTTAGGCGTTCCCCAAGTCCCGTAACTAGTACGGTTGCGTACTCGCTCTAGTTGGTTTAAAAATATTCGAATTGAGGTAATAAACACAGAAAAAGTAAATAAACACAAAAGAAGCTCGAGGTCGTCCCCACCTAAATGAAAGAAAACTAAAAGAGGAAATTAAAGTTCTAAATTATCCTACGCTACTTCTTATACGATGTGCACCACGACCTCCAATTACAGAATACTACAGGGCAAATCCCGGATAAAAATATGTACAAATCCTTCGGGGCATTCCCCGGATAAATTTAACTAAGGGAACGACCCCTCACCTCGAAATTATCAAAAATCCTAAAGTTTGCCTACCTAGATGATGACGGCCTAAACATGCCACTAACGGTTAAATAATTAAGAAAACAAAAGTATAGCAATTTGTTTTGTTGGTCCTTAACTCTGTTAAATTCCCCACGTCACAGTTATCATTGTTCTTCCTAATCAAACTTTACTATACAGATTCTTAAAGATTTTAAAATAGCAAGAGATACTCTTAAAGATTTTAAACTAACTTCAAACAAAATGAAACGAACAAATCAAACTAAAAGACTACTGAACAAACAATTAAGGCATATCGAACAAAAATCACATAATAAATTAAGGGATTTATGGGAAAAGAAAGGATTGGACCTTTGAACCCAAATGTTTGGCAGCAACAAAAATCGAAAGACAATGGTGGACTTCGACAGGAACCGTGGACCCGAATCGGAACTATGAAGCAACGGAAATCTCCAAACAGCTCAAACTCAGGTGATCCTCATTCTCCAATTTCGAATTGAAAAATCAAAAATTTCAAAGAAAGCAACAAAATGTTTCTTTTTTTATTTTTATTTTTGTATATATATATATATATATATATATATATATATATATATATATATATATGTGGCTGCTGGGGTATGAGTGTGCTGGTTTCTGCTGCTGGGATCTGGCCGATTTTTATGAAGGGATGTAGGGCTGGAAGCGGCGGCGGTGAGCAGCTGGTGGGCGGCGGGCCTCTAGCGGCTACTGTTGTTCGGCGCTGCTGGGATGGAGGAGATGGTTGTTGGTATTAGCTGGTCGTTTGAGGATGGTTGACTGGAGATGGGGGTCTGTCCGGCTGTGAGCACGTGATGTGAATTACTCCTATAGAATTCATAAAATTAGAATTTTTCTTTTATTTGTTTAATTTTAGGGAATTAATTGTATGATTTTGTGTTTGTTTGCATTTTTTGTGTGCATTTTTAATTGATATAATTCATAAAAAATACAAAAAATAGTGCATTTGCATTTAGGACCCAATTTTAATATTTTAGTTCTATTAGTTAATTAACATTACAAAAATGGAAGAAAATAACAAAAATAGCTCCTTTCGCATTTTACTTTTAATTTTCGATTTTTTCCTTAGTTTGCATTAAACTAGGAGTTAGTTAATTTTTAAAAATTAATTAGTTTAATTTTAGAGTTAAATCAGGTCCTTTATTTTTAGTTTTGTATTTAACAAAAATCAAAAAAAAAGAGAAAAAGAGAAAAATAACAAAACTAATATGAAGTGAATAAAACTGCAAAAGCATCGCTTAGTAACTTGTCCGACCTCTTTCTTACTTTAGGGTATGACACTACAGAATAGGGAGTCTCGACCAGCGGCACATCCCGAAGATGAGAAAGAGAAGGTTCGTAACAGTTTATATATACAATTCAGATAATATCAAAACGGTAAATATAGCACTTAAGCACATTAGGATGAAACATGTAGGAAAATCAGATAATGAATAAAGTCAATCATAACAGCTTCTAAGCTCGAATTCTAACCTGACCGAGTTCTGGGTTTGTATCCCCAGCAGAGTCGCCAGAGCTGTCACACCTCCTTTTTTACGCCACCCCGAAGGATAGTGTATAAGGGAGTTTTTCCAATTTAAGTGACATTATTCGAAATGGGATTGTTTATTTATCAGAGTCGCCAACTCGGGATAATTTATTGGTGTCCCGAG